ATTCTGCACGTCCAGCAGAGAACAGTTCAATGACAATCTGTTCTCCAAAACTCACTGAACAACTGTAGCACATCCTCACTACACGGCAACACTGTCTCATTCATTAATTTGTTGTAATTACACTACGAAACCAATACGCGCTTTGTATATGAGCGGATCGTGTTCCGGGGTAATGGTTAGCCAGTGCAGTTGGCGAGTTGTCAGGTCTTCTCCAACTATTCCTTGACACTAGGTCATGCAACTCGTTAACTTTGGGTGTGGTTGTTGTGTTGGCGGCAGCTTCTACACCTTAAACAAATTCAAGCCTCGGTGGCCCTAGGGCCGGCCATCCTCGATCACGAGGGGCAACCATTCTTCTTCTTCTTCTTCTTCTTCTTTCTCTTATTATTATTATTATTATTATTATTATTATTATTATTATTATTATTATTATTATCATCATCAACATCTGTGTGAGAGAATATCTGTGTATGGGTGTGGCTCTATCTGTGTGAGTGTACCTGTGTTATGGGTGTACCCGTATCTGTATGTACTTGTTTGGGTGTACCGGTGTAAGGGTGTATGTGTTTTATACATGCTCTATACGTACAAGTGCAGTGTCACCCAAATATATTTAAAACAATATAAGAGAGTTAAAGAATGGGAGGCAACTTAGTCACATCCAGATAATATAAAACAATCATTACACAAGGCGCTACATTACCAACCATACCAACCTTTCAAACTGGTTCGTCTATTTTTGTATTAATTATTATTATTATTTTTTTTAAATAGTAAAGATATTGTCTAAGGTCCGTTTTCCTCGTTGATTTTTTTTTTTGGTATATAAGAATGTAAAGTTAGTTCTCACACAAGACTGTATAACTCTATCTGGACTTATACAGGTCAAACTATCTTGTATTTTACATCTAGTCGTCAACAGTACAAGTGGGGGATATGTATACTGTAGGTTCCTTATATGTAACGCTCAAGAGCCAAATTACACAGTAATTTGACAATGAATTTAACTGAACTTGTGCGAATGATAATGAAAAAAATGACATGATCAGAGTTGGTATGGCGGTGGAGATGACCAATCTATGTGAAATATTTATAAGAATGGGAGTGAGGTATATACATGCCTCTCTTATCTATGTGTACAAAAGATGTGATCTAATTATGTACATAACTTAGGTGTGATTATGCACATTGCTATCATGATGAAATTACCTCACCTGAACTAGTACCTGCACATATGTTCTTGTACACCTGTGTGTAATAATACGTCTCGGCGATTTCTTAACACTGACCAGCTCAAGTTTAATCCATCGATGTATTCGTTTACCTAATTATGGTGCTGGATATTTATAATTAAAAGCCCAGACACTCGCCAAAAACAAACCTGTTATAAGTTTTGCTTCTAAGTAAAACTACGGTATTAAAAGACAAGCATATATCCGGTGTTGTCTGGAGGTCAGTACTGTACAGCACGTGTCAGGAATCTGGATCTACTACATAAATATTGCAAACAGGAATATAATGTAATGGCTTTAAATTCATATTTTATACAATTTGACAGAAAAAGTCAATTAAATTCGCCAATATACTTATAAACTTAATTGTAAGGAATTCCTACAAAATTTATGATGAAATTTTTAAAATATAAATTTAACTCAATATTTCAACTTCATAAAGAATAAAGGAAAAGTAGTTACTACAATCCATTCCATATCGTGATTACCTCTAAGTATAATGTATTTCGTCAATACAATATATATATATATATATATATATATATATATATATATATATATATATATATATATATATATATATATATATATATATATATAAAACACTTGTAAGAGAATCATTTTACCGCAGAACACCCGTATAATTTGATAAGTGTAGTGAGTACACAATCTAATTTTATACGAGGAACGACAGTGTATTGATTAAGCTCTTGCCCCTGAAACCATACCAAACAGTGACCTTCACGGTTCTTTCAACCTTTTACATTGTATTGTCCCCCTCATAAGAGTTCAAATTAAGCTGTTTTATTATCACATTTCTTCCCTGTAATACTCCTAATTCACTGTTTTGTGCAAACACAAACACTGTACAATATAATATGCCTCGCGACCATCACAAACCTGGCACCGGGGTCAAGAAATATTGTCACACTACCTGTAAGGGCGGAAACTATCTTCCTGCTCGTTATCGCTGCTTACTCGCTCGTTTGCTGGTGCGGACGACACTTGGGGCAGTTGGACAGAGGTGAGAACGGCAGCGTCTATCTGGGTCACCGGCAGATTCAACCCAGCCGCCATACAGTCACTATCTAGCTACCCAGCTGTTCGTCAAATTCTGGCTATGATCTCATCATAGGTCCTGGACTCGTGGGCTGTGTCCCCAGACCTTCACCTATCGACTGTCAATTCTCTGGACATCTACCACATACCACGACCGTCAGTTCATCTCATTCCGTCTTTGCCCCGGTGTTCTGCCATTTCAAGATGTTGCTCGAGTGTGGAGTTGAATGGACGCTTTCCTACCCTGAGTGTGGATCACAGTGTTCCAGAACCTTACCCCAGGGCCACTGCCGTAGGAAATATCTGTTCATTGTTTGGTTCTATTGTTTGATTCCATTAATTGCTGACTCCCCTTTATTGTTCGAGTCCATCAATTGTTGACTCCATTTAATTGTTTGAATCCATTAATTGCTGACTCCCATTAATTGTTTGATTGCTTTAATTGTTTGCTTCCCTTAATTGATTAACTCCATTAACTATTGACTGCATTAATTGCTTGACTCCCGTAATTATTTGTTGTTTGTTGAGTAGTGTCAGAGTTTTGCTATATTTTTTATAGTAAAGAGATGTCAATCTGAAACGGTTGTTTGCTATTACTCAAAAAACCATGGTCCTTGACTTTCCTTTATTAAGAACCTGATTGGTCTGGTAAGGGATTTCTATCACAAAGTCCCAGGCCTTTTACACTACCATACCATCGATAACAATGTGGCACATGAAGCAGATGCCGAAAACCATGGCAATGTGGATAAAAGTGAAGGGAAGATTCACCCACCCTAACTTACTTACTTACTTCGCCTAAAGATTAGCAACCCTAACGCTACATGGTTAGATTAGGATACGGTGGTTAATCTCTCCGTGCAATAATCTGGGGGGAGAATCTTTAGGAGATTCGTACTTTTCCTCACCAGTGTTTAGCTTGCTAAAGAGTTTCGGCAGGAAGTATACGTGATGCATATTTCTGAGGATACAGGAAGCTCTCTACGATACGATGCCGGGTTCGTATATGTGGCTGAGTCTCATTTCAAGGCAGGGTAAGGCGGCTAAAAATAATATTATGAACTTAAAGAAGACGATCTTTACACAAACATGTACCTATTCTTGTAACAAACTTGCACCAACACAGATAAACACACGAATTAAAATTTTACCAAGACAAGATACCTATACGCAGCCCTTACCACACCTGAGATACCTACACATTACTCACCACACCTGAAGCAAGAATCTACAAAACACTTACCAGATTACACATGCAAGGCTTCGCTCCTGGCCCCATGTCATCCCAGAGATGAACCCAACCGAAACCCCACAAATTATGAGTAAAACTGAATTCACTTTAAAACCTTATCTGAGGTGTGTATAGGAGTATCGTCCACCTGGGAGAGGGGAAGGAGTAGGAGAGGAGGGATAGGGGTTTGGGGGAAGAGGAAGAATTTGGGAGAGGGGAAGATGGAGAAGGGGTGGCGGAAGTAGTAGTAGTATGGGAATCGGATCAACACTATATAGCACCACCAAGTTGCAAGGGCCCGGCGTTAACTCAGGTGGCAGCAGGCACCACTAGCTACAAGGAAGCACCCGGGGTAACTAACTGGCATTTTAAGTGACGGGACGGGGTGTGTTGTGAAGACCAGAGCAACAGGGATTAAACCACACTAACCACCACCACTGTCATGACTATCAGAGATAATGAGACGCCCCCCCGTTATCATCCCAGTCCACGGCCCAACGGCACGGCACACACACACGTCACTTTCACTGATGCTCATACAAATTCCCCTTAGTAACTCACCTGTGAACACATCATACTTATACATGTTCAGCAACACACTTGTACAACATAAAACACAGTAAATATTCAACAAAACACCTGTATACATAAAACACCTATACATATAACACAACTGTATATAATCAATAACTAACCATTACATATCTAATAACATCAGTGCATATTTAATAACACATCTGTACACATGTCACACCTGTACATATTCAATAACATATCAGTCAGTCCGTATTCAATACCACACCTGTATATATTCAATAACACATCTGTCCGTATTCAATAACACACCTGTAAATATTCAATAACACACCTGCACATATTCAATAACTCATCAGCTGTACATGTTCAATAACAGGGAACACACACTTGTACACATTACAATACACCTGTACAACCTCACACACCATCTCCGGAGTTACGAAATCTTGAGTCAGGTTTTTAGCTACATTTAAAAAGATGAGGAGAGTTACGGCTTGGAAGACAAACATAAACGGGAAAGTAAGACGATGTGGAGAGAGAGAGAGAGAGGAAAAGAGTTGAGGAGCAGAGAAAAAAGAGGAAGGACAAACAGATACTGGAGGAGAGGGGACTAAAGAGGGTAAAACGTGCACAAGAATGGATGAAAATGAAAGAAAAGGTTAAGGAAGAGGACATTTGAGTGAGGTGACAGCATAGAGGGGACATGAGAAGGTTGATGAGAAAAGGAAAAAGAGGCATAAGGGAGGAATAGACGGAAGAGAATTGCTGGACACCTTTACCTGAGAGAGGAGTGGTGAGTGGGAGGGAAGATGAAGGGCATGACACTCCTATCACCATATAACAAATATTGATGGTGATATAATACACAGCGTGTGGGATGCAAGCGACCTCCCCCTCCAAGGCCAACCCTCTCCCCCACAGTAACCTCAGTCAACACTCACCCTGTCGCTCCTGGAGCTCCTGTTGCTCTTGGAGGAGGCGCGGGAGGAGGAGAGCAACTGTGACTCCGAGGCCATACGGTTGAATTTCTGCGTCGCCTCCTTCACCGAAACCGAGATCTTGCGCTCCTCCTCGGGTCGGTCTCCACTACCACTACTGCCTCCGGCGCTTCCCCTGTCTGCAGCGTCATCACCGTCTTCGCCGCCTTCGTCACCCATGACCTAAGTCGAAAGAGATAGTATAAACATTAACGCCACACACACACAACCAAGCTCTGTTCTAACGTGTGTCACATCCCACCTTCAGTGTTTACACCACTGTCACCAGTGTCCTAGATAACGAGACGTCCACTACTGAAAAAAAACTGTTGTTCTGTATTATTGGTGTTATTATAAAACAAGAATATTAGTTCTACTCTGGCACTAAAATATATATAATACCTACAGCTTTAGCATCGTCACACAATATTAACAATAATGCTAAACATAATTTAGTTGATAAAAACAAAATCCTCCTAACTGTACATTACGTCAGAGCTCAAAACTTGGTACACCTAACACAGCTGCCAATTGTCAGGCGCGAGACAATGTTGACAACGTTAAATATGGCCTGTGACATCGTCACCATGCCGACAACAAACACCCCACCCAGCTTGTCACCTCGCCGCCTCCCCCCTCACCACCACCAAGCCATCAACAGACAATGATCTATTCCCAGACTCATTTGCCCAACCTTGTAGACAATATCCTTACCCATTTTTTCACCCGATTCAGTTTCCTGTCATCTCCACTTTCATTCTACTTGTTATATTCATAAATCTTATTCCCTTCCCCGACTCAGTCTCCCAACCTTGTAAACTTCAGTATAATACTTTTATCTCTCCAGCCCCAGCAACAGTCCCTCCACACACTAATTGATGGTCATTTACGTAAAGGGGATTACATTTTAACGTCTATTTCCTCAAAATTGTCTTTACAGTGCACAGTATTTTCATGTTGTCCTTCTGGCATAATTGAGATAAAAAACAGAGATCACGACTAATTAACCATTTACACCGACGACCCACAAGAAGATAGCCTCAAGTGTACACGGTCCGCCCAGCCTCAAAATAAACAACAAATATGAGTGCATGACAAACGCCGTAGTAAGTAACATATCTCTTACCACTGTAAATATTTCTTGTAGGTTCCTCGTACACACACACTCTACACCAAAATATTCACTCACAGGCCTCTCTATCTCTCTACACACACACACACACACTAACCTCCCTAGTTCATTACTTTACGTGACTGACATTCAAGAACGCTTTAAAATATTTTCCCATTTCTGGTTCATATATTTGTGTTCTTTAAGGATATATACAAGGTTAGAGCCCTAAATTGAACATAATTTCACCAATTTCTGTGTTTTTTCCTTTACTACTCCTGACTAAAACTGAAGACAATACCTCACACTACCTATTATAAAATGATTGTTTATTACTCCATCTATCAACACGTAATGAAAAAAGGTTTCACTATCGTTTCCTTTTTACTTCCCCAGGTAATAAAAATTATCCTAAAATTTTACTATTTTTATAACCCCACAATACAAGATACTCCTAAGTTCCAATATTTACTGAAGCAAACAATAAAAGATTCTCGTACGTCTTCTTATCTTCTTAACGAGGCAATAAAGTTATTCTCAAGTTCCCACATTTTCTTCACCTCCAGTGTTCCACAATTTCTACAAGTTATCTGAGGGGTTTAGCGGGGACTGCGGGAGAGAGGCAGAGAAGTGTTTGGTTGTGACTCACCCTCTTAATTTACTCAGTTATCGCCGCACTCAACATTATCACCACTTCATAAACAAATCCTCAAACCTAATTACCAGTAATATCTGTCATAACGGCCCTGACGACTACCTGCCTGGCCCTGTACAGAATACTATCATCACTATAAACGCTGCTCTTTAAAACGCTACGTCTGGATACAAACCAAATGAATAATAATATAAATATGAAATAAGATATCGGCCCACCAACACAAGCATCATCCAATATGAGCCAAGAACGTAACTGATGATAGTTGTACAGCTTAAAATATAAACAAACAGATAAAGCTAACATCCACACAAGCCGAGCGACACACACACTCGTGCCAAACAACACATTACTCTCGTCTACCTCATTTTCCTGGTGTGTCGGTTAACATTTCCCTGCTTATACCCGGCCTTGCTTATCAATATGACTCCGCTAGTTATCTTAAGTCTATCAATCACAATGTTTGTCTTGTCAAGTCGACCGATAACTGGTGAAGAGTTCAAAATAAATAAGTGAAACTTGGTCTGAAGATTCACGACAGTCATCCTCAGGTTTGTTTAGCTTTGGAGTCCAGGAGATCATAGGTTAAGGTGAGGACGGTAATTCACGTGACCCCAGGCGTGTGCTAACATGTTCCTGGTAGACTCATTTCAACATCTTTCACTGAACCCTTCAGTCTTATCCTTCAACCACATAGAAAACGAAATAGTCAGAATCCCTAATCTCCTTTACCTTATTGTTAGTTCAACAAAGACCGGCATGAAAACCCACTCCCCCCTCACTCACCTATTTTGTGCTGTTAAACTCACAGTACAGTTCAGTCAAAACCGCCACACTGCCTTGTCTTGCATCTGTTGTAAACAGCCACTCGTCCAGTCAAGTCAAGGTTATTAGTACACACCAAGTCACTAACCTTGACCTTGTGTAGGCTTATAAGGCCAGATTCAACAATTACACCGGGACAAACACTGAGCCAGTTTACAAGTTATAAGAGCTGTTTTCAGGGCATGAAATGAGTGGGCCCAGTACCTAATGGCCTGTTATGGGCGGTGCAGATACAGCAAACTGCAAAGCATTTTAACGGTACAGAAAACGACCGTCTTCATTGTCCCTAACTGTAAAGTTAGCAACCAATCACAGATGGATGAACCAGCGATTCTTAGGGCAGGAAGCGAGAGCTGTATTCTCTCAGCCGCCGCTTTCAAGGCATTATGAGTATAAAGCCCCGAGTTAAGAACTCGCCCAGAATACATAAATTTAATGAGTTTTCTTGACTATAAATAAGAAATGAGAGTATTGCACATGACCCATGACTCTGGGTAGTAAATTCAAGGTATTTAACAGTCTTACTGTGTCCAGATGATGACCTCCTCCACGGGGGAAGAATACTTTATACTGTATGTTAACTTCAGCCATAATATATATATATATATATATATATATATATATATATATATATATATATATATATTATATATATATATATATAATGCTACTGGAATGAATATCTGCAGTTAAGTACAGTATAATGTACATAATACACAAAAATGCTGCCAGTAAGAAATGACCGATTTATTTAATTTAAAAACATAAATAGAAGCAAGCAACATCAAGTACCACACTTGAGGCAGTAGAGAAACAAACAATACTGTACAGTACCAGAAGTATGTGTGGGGGTGAGAGAATTGAGGGAGGAGGGAGCTGACCCCCAGGGCTCTCCTGCAAGTCCATACTGTTAATAGCGAACACTAGCCTGGACACCATAATGACCGTGAGATGCTCTACCACACACGTACACACACTGGCAATCCACAACGTCTCACTCAACATGTTAAAACACCCTCCACACATTACCCATACACCAGTCAACTCCCTCCTCACTGCCAGAGGAACAACACTTGAGATATCTCCTGTCAATCATCAATTTGGAGAGGAATCCGCGAGTCCCCTTCACCCCACACTTGGAATGTGCCAAAAACTTAAAGTAAATAAATAATTTAACCCACAGAAAATTTTACAAGTTAAACATTAATAATTAAATTTACTAAACCTCGCCGGCTGAGATTCGGAGTCTTAAAATAAATCCAACTAAGACTGTGACTGTGACTCAGCAGCAACAGCAGTGACTCCCTCCCTCCCCCTGGTGGTGCATCCCTCTCCCTCCCAGGTGGATGAGACAGCGGTCAGGCGGCCACTCAGCACCACTGAGGGAACGTGCCGCCCTCACCCACCCCAAGGATCACATACACCCTCACGCAACCCACCCACCACCGAGCTACACACCCACGCCGTTTGATTACCTATCAATCAATCAATCAATCTGTAAATCAATCAGAATGACATAAAAGGTAGTTCTGATTTATTTACATTGATAGAATGATCTTGCCTATCAACTTAGTAATCTAAAAGTTGATATCCGTAAACCAGTATATCTACCACTATATATATATATATATATATATATATATATATATATATATATATATATATATATATATATATATATATATATATATATATATATATATATATATATATATATATATATATATATATATATATATATATATATATATATATATATATATATATATATATATATATATATCGCCGTCTTCGCCGGTTCATTTTACTGTAAGTTTTGAAATGCATGGAGAAGCAGATATATTTATAATGATATGTGGTGGACTGGAGGAAATACAGATGAGGCTGTACCCTGACACGGTCACCTGTAATCAAAGCCAGGTTTGCCTCGTTCACCGCGGAACACTGACGAGCCAATCTGGGGCATCAGCTAGGGGGGCATGGCGACACATACCGCGAGCAGTTTAGGCAGGACGTGTGTATCTCCACCTATGGTTTGGGTACTGTATCTGTACACCAGTTGAGCTTTTACAAGACAATGAACACTCAATGTGAATCTCATATTGCCGCCTTAATGAGGATTCAAACCTCGGACTAATGTCGGAGGACAAAATAGTGTATTCTGTGGCAGAACGATAAGCAACTACCCATACCGGCAAGCCCTTATACCCCCCCGCAGGTAATGTCAATAAGCAACACTTGTACCACCCAATTTTCGGTTCCAACAAAACAACAGAAGCGTCTTAAAATACATTTTATCCACTCACAAAAAGGTGTATCATTAATAAATCTCAATATTCCAATTCCACTACTGAAGTCTTGTTGTATTATGGGTGAAGAATATTCCACGTGGTAACCCCATCCCTCCCCTCCACAACAAGCCAATCTTATACAAGGTTGGATGGGTACAGGGAGGTGTGGTGGTCATCAATGAGTTAAAAATAAACATGAGATATTCCACAGAAACCCCCATGACTACCATCAGTACTTCAATCAACTAGCTCTTCCAGCGTCGTCACTGGCGATCATTAAATATAAATTAACAAGAAACAA